TAAATGAATTCAATTAATTGATGTAAGAATGAGTGATTAACTACAAAGCAATACTGCTATTTATACTCTAAATTAAAAGAAGCAAGAAATGCGGTAAATGTGTGGAACCAAAAAAGGAGACTTGCAGTACATGGGAGCAATATGTGGACAATGGGAACACGTTGCATGGTGAGTGGCTGGTTAATTTGAGCCATATTTTAACACGCCTCTTATATAATAATAGGGAAGGGATCAGGTGCGGGTGGTGCTTCCCGTGCGGTTGTGCGGGTGGACTCACATTAAGCATTATTACACTGGCGCACTTTAAGTACATAACATACGTACATTAAATACACAAACAAAATACATTCAGAACACAAATTCACGCACCTTAAGCACAAAAGTCACACATCTTAAGCGCAACCCTCACGCACCTTAAGCACAAAAGCACACGTACCTTAAGTTTTAACAACAACTCACATTAAGTACACACTCACGCACATTAAGTACAAAACTCATGCACTTTAAAGTTTCAACACCAACTCAATTAAATACACACTCACGCACATTAAGCACAAAACTCACACACCTTATACACAAGACTCACGCACATTAAACATTAACATTAAGCATTACACACTCACGCACATTAATCACCCGCACGGGAGACACTTACCCGAGAGGGCTCATTTAAAGGAGCCCAAAGATACTCATGACCACCCCAACTTCCAAAGGCATTTTCGGGGACTAGCCTCCTTCCTTCTTTCTTCGATCGGAATACTCATGACTTGCCCATCCGATTCCCCAATTGGATAGGCAAGTTTATTTAAGTGGAGCCTTGAGGCTTTCTTTTTATAGGAGCCTCAAGGCTCCACACCCACTTTACCCACCGATGTGGGTAAAGTAGGTGGTTATTCTTTTTATTTTTTTATTTATTTTTTTATTATTATAATTATATGAGTAAATACCTAAAATGGTTCCTCGACTATAGCTAAATTCACAAATTGGTCCTTGACTTTCAATTTTAATCAATTAAGTCCTTAACTTTACAATTTTGACACGATTTGGTTCTCCATCTATTTGACTATTTGTTGACCGTGATCGACGATCTCTAGAAGAACCTCCAGCTCTCGTCGGAGCACGTGGAGGCCTCCAGGATGACGTTGCACCGGTTCGGAAACACGTCGTCTTCTTCGCTCTGGTACGAACTCAACTACATTGAATCCAAAGGGAGGATGAAGAAAGGCAACCGGATTTGGTAGATTGCTTTCGGCAGTGGATTCAAATGTAACAGTGCGGTCTGGAAATGCAACCGGAACCTTAAAAATCCGACGATGGACCATGAAATTACATATATATCCTCAAAAATCACAGTCAACAAACGGTCAAATAGACAGGGGACCAAATTGTGTTAAAATTGCAAAGTTAAGGACTTAATTGGTTGAAATTGAAAGTCGATGATCAATTTGTGAATTTAGCTATAGTCGAGGGACTATTTTGGGTATTTACTCTAATTATATTATGAAATATGTGTATGTTTTTATAGGTCATTTAGGGTCCGTTTGGAAAGCAGGAAAATGACTTCTGGAAAATGACTTCTGGAAAATGAGTCATTTTCCAGAAAACATTTTTCTTTCCGGTATTTGGTTGCACAGCAGAAAATTGTCTTTGTGTGTTTGGTTCATTTTCCAGAAAATGAGCAGGAAAATGACAAAAATCCAAAAGAAAATAATATTCATTTCTTTCCAATAAATATTATAATATTCATTGCAACCCAATAAATATTCGTTAAACACTAATAATAAGTAATCCAAATTCGGCGGCCGGCGGTGATGTTAGTCTCTAAAATATTCATTTCAATAATTATAAGCATAATTTTTAACAATTGTCCAGACTGCATCTCTCTACAGATTATCTCTTCCCATAAACCATCTCTTTCGCAAATTGATTTCAAGTGTAGATACAAATCAGATCTCGCGGTGGTGAATAGCAGATCCGGCGGCGAAGCAACAACCATCGAACCTTTGTCTCCCTGTTTCTGGACTTGGGTTTCTTCATCTGTCTTCCTCTCCGGCGAGTCCTCCGTCTCCGGCGTACTATTTGCAGCGGCAAGCAACAGTGGCATCTCTCTCGCTCGCCGTATAGAAAGCATCTCCGGCAGTGCAACAACGGATCCGGCGAGCAGTCCAATGTCTTCTCCTTTTTTCCGGCGAAGTAGTCTGTGTGGCAGCAACGACGAGCAGATCGACGGCGATGGTATTAGTCTCCGGCGGTGCAGCTTCTCTTTTTGGTGTTGATGGAGGCTTGACGTCTCTGGCTGTTGAAGAGAAGAAAGAGTGGAAAATGACTTCCCCCCAAAAAAAGGGGAAGTCATTTTCCATAAAATTGCCTTCCTTTTCCATTGACTTCTACCCCATTTTCCTTTGACCAGTCATTTTCCATGTAGCCAAACACCAAAAACCCGGAAAATGACTTCCAGAAGTCATTTTCCGGGTTTCCAAACACACCCTTAACTATTAACATCAAACTACTAATTTTACTAAATATTTTTTTACCCACTAATCGTCAATTGCCAAACATGGCCAAAATGAAATGTATAACATTTAAAGTAAATTATATACCTCTATTAGTACACAAAAAATGGACAAAAATCAAGGACATAATTTGAATTGACACATATTATAAACACATACCTTGCAATTTCATAAACAATTAGCTTAACCCGGAGTGGTAGCTTAGATGGTATATGAGCTCTTTTCGTGTGGAGAATTTCGGAGTAATCTGGATTTAATTCTTATAAGTTACAATTCCCATCGGGCCAACTTCCAATCTCTCTGAGCAAATAGGGATTAGTTTGGTGGACTTGGGCCGAGATTAAAACTCTAGATTACTTTCAATTCGATGAAATTTAATTAAACTTGATCGAGACTAAATCTTTTTTTTTTTTTAATACAATAGAGAAGAAAAGACAAGAAATTAAAAACTACAGAAACAAGATCACACAACTCTAACAAAATTCAAGGCCAACAGAGAACAGTGTCTATGAATACCATCCAAACGGTCGTCATAGAAGTCACGAGCTGCTATATACATTTTTTACTGTTAAAAATTGTTGTAATAATAATATCAAAACAGCTGAAATATTTACAGTTGTAATTAAAATGGAGGACCAAATTAGCACTTTAATTTCACAATAGCAACAAACTGGTCCCTTCTTTTCCTTTTATCTTATGTCTGCCTCTTCCATATTAAACTCCATCCCTCTGCCAGTAACACTCTGGCAATTTACTAAAATCAGATAACAATTTTTTTTATTTTTTATTTTTGAGTTGAAACGATAATTATAATGATATAAGGAAAAATCATTATTTTGATCCTTCAATTATTTTTCAATTGTCAATTTTGTCTCTAATTTTTAATTTAAACAAATTGACCCTCCAATTGTTATAAATTTCATCAATTAAATCCCCTAGTCACTATTCTGTCAGTCAGCACTTAATTAATCTAGAGGATTTAATTGACGAAATTTAAAACAATTAGAGGGTCAATTCGTTCAAATTGAAAATTAGAAACCAAATTGACAGTTACAAAACAATTGAGGAACCAAAACAATGATTTTCTCATGATATAATTATAATCGCTATTTCTTGAGAAAAAAAAATCATGAATAACCAATATCAAACTCCTCTTGAAATGATTATAGGGGTGTTTGGCAAATAGCTGCTAGCGGATCGGTTTAGCGGGTTTGATTAGCTGATAGCATTAGCTGGTTGTAGAAAGATAATTAGTAAATTAGTTGTTAGCTGATAGTTGATTACATGCAAAATGATCTTTAAGAGTATAATTTATTTCTTAAAAAGCTTATTGAAAAAGCTACTTTGAACAACTTTTTGAATTTTAACATTTTAGAGTAATAAGCTGTTACAAAAAACTGATTAACCAAACACTCATATTGACTATCCAAGTCAAACAGCTAATAGTGGTCAAATAAACCAAAATTAACTGATAAACTAACTATGGTTGGTAAACATGTCTAACTTTCTTATAAGTAGAATAGCCCATCCCCAATAATAGAAAGCCAATTCAAATAATGAAATAGGTTTATTTATTTCTATAAATATTTTTATTCATTTTTTTAGTATTATTGACTATGTTACCATGTAATATTTCATACATATTTTTTTAACTTATTAAAGCAGAAAGAGTCAAGTATTCCTAATCTATCTTATGAATCGAACTTGATGGAAACACACCTAGCAACTTGACCATGTGGGTACAGAGGGAGTTAGTTAAGGATTCATTGTCAAAGGCTTAGAGGCTAATCTTATTCCATATATCAATCAAACGTTTTATTATGTTGCATTCTATTGTATTTTTCTCCTTTTTGATTTTGTTAATTCAAGGATTTGTCCAAAAAGCCTATGGAGATAGAAGAAACTATTTTTATTTTTGTTTTTTGTTTTAAATTACCAGTGTAGTGGCCAAGCACCTTGTGCTTAGATGGCATGTAGTGTCTTCTCCCATATGAGAAGTCATGAGATCGAATATCAGTGATGACATTTATTCTTTCTTCTCGAGCCTGGAGAATCCATGGTTACAAAAGGCGTTACTGCCCTAGTCGGTGGCCGGGTCGAATAATAATAATAAAGTGTAGTCATACTAAATCATTTAAAAAAATACTTGGTCAAAATGGGCATCGACTTGGGCAACAACTCGGCCACCGCCCTAAACCATTAAAAAAACATTCGGTCGAGTTGGGTGCTGACTTGGCCGAGTTAGGCGGCAACTCGACCAAGTCGGGCACACCTAATCGGCAGACTAAAAGGTGCATAGGGGTGAAATTCCCTCAGCCGCCTAGACCGATTTTTACAGCACTAGGGGAATTCAATGTGGCTTATATAGATTCCTTTAACAAAAAACAAGATTGTTAATTTAAGAACAAATATTCGTGTTGCAAATATAACAAAACTCGACAAACCCACCATTCTCCTATTCTGCATGAGAGCACAAGTTACAGCTATGAGGATGCTAGAAAGAAGAAAATACAGCGGCCCTATAGACCTTGTCCATATATATCCATTTCTAATAATGTAGAAATCTTTGTCTATATATAAAGAGTACACAATTATGGGTTCAACCTCAACCTCAAGTCATACACTCTGGGAAGGGAGCTAGGGATATGATAAACAAACAAATGAAGAAAGAAATGAGTTCAAGAAACCTAAGTTGTTGCAGTAGCTTAGCTCTGACAATGATTCTGCTTTCATGTCACCCCATTGTGTTGGAAGCTAAGTTGCAAGTTGGGTTTTACCGAAACTCGTGCAGGGCGGCTGAGCTTGTTGTCAAAGATGAAGTCCGGAAAGCGTTCTTTCGTGACAGGGGAGTGGCTGCTGGGCTTGTCAGGGTGCATTTCCATGACTGCTTTGTAAGGGTGAGCAGATTATACATATATATACGCAATATTTCGCTTATAATATAGATTCAAACTCTATATGTATACCTGGCAGGGCTGTGATGGCTCGGTGCTCATAGATTCCACTCCTGCAAACAAAGCAGAGAAGGATTCTCCCGCGAATAATCCAAGCCTGAGGGGATTCGAGGTCATCGACAAAGCAAAGGCTAGGCTGGAATCCATATGTAAAGGAGTTGTGTCATGTGCTGATATATTGGCTTTTGCAGCCAGAGATAGTGTAGAGATAGTAAGAATTTTCAATGTTATATATACATATATATATATATATACAGAATAGTAAGTAGTTTTCACACTTACAGTAACACTGCAGACTGGAGGGCTTGGCTATGATGTTCCGGCTGGAAGAAGAGATGGCCATATTTCTTTAGCTTCTGAGGTTGCCAACAATTTGCCAACGCCTTTCTTTAACGTCGATCAGCTTACCACACTCTTTTGCAACAAGGGATTCACGCAAAAAGAAATGGTTACGCTCTCCGGTAAGGAGGGATTTGAAAGTTAGAAGAGATTAGTATTTATCTAATTGAAGCATGTGCTCCATCTCAACTAAAAGCCTAAGCTCATAGTTGGATTGCACGTTAATGGCTATATGCTCAACATATCTGACTGATATATACATATTTACATGCAGGAGCACACACCATCGGGCGTTCTCACTGCACGTCGTTCAGCAACAGGCTATACAATTTTAACACGACGACGGGGCAAGACTCCAGCCTAGATCCCCTCTATGCAGCTAAACTGAAACAACAGTGCCCGCAAGGCAGTAAGGATCCAAATCTGGTGGTGCAAATGGACCCTGCAACCCCGGCCATCTTTGATGTTGCCTACTACACCAATGTTTTAGCGAACCGGGGTCTCTTAACCTCAGATCAAACGCTGCTCACAGATCCATCCACTGCAAAACAAGTCAGTCAGAATGCTCGAGCCCCGTTTCGCTGGAAAAGTAAATTTGCTGCTGCAATGGTGAAGATGGGTAAACTTGGTGTCCTGACAGGGAATGCCGGGGAAATTCGAGCCAATTGTAGAGTGGTTAATCACTGAAGATCAGAAGAGTGCAGGGTGTTGACCAATTTAGAACTTTAAGAGTTTTTGTATCAAGTCCTGTATGTTAATCTACAAGAATGTTTAAGTTTAAGTGTTGAGTTTGATTGAGGAGGAAATTATGGCCAAGGAATAATCTTTCTTCCATCCACCAATTTCATATTAGCGTTCAAAAATATCTACAAAGAAACTAAGTTAGAGGAATGGCTGCACCGCATATACCTCTACGTTTATAGCTAAAACTTCACGGTCCAAACGGCCAACAATACAGGACAAAGACAAGACTAGACCTAAAATGCCCTGTTGACTTGTAAAAGCACACAAAATGCTGGACAGTGAAGGATAAAGACACGCGACCTTTGCTTAAGGTTGTATCCTCGCTTGCTTCCTCGTTTCCCGTCGCTGATGTTTCCAACCTTCGGTGTTTACTGCGTGACAATGTGGATATGTTCCGTGGGTCCAAAGATTACATGGAGCAGCGACATCGCACACATAGCAATAGCACTGATCAAGAACATTTGGGACTTGGTCAAATTACGGTAAATACATTTCTTGAAGAGAATTAAGGTACAAAATCATATTACCAGTTTACAGTGCTTCTCATGAGGTGTAGTGCCATAGGGAAACTCCACACACACATACCTTGCATGTGGGAAATCTCTACATGCCACCTGTATACACCCATCAAGAAATACAGTCACAAATTCAAGAAAAGTGAAATAAATGAAAAAAAAAAAAAAAATTGGTATCCAAAGCATAAGACCATTGATCACTTAAAACATAAAAGCTTATTACATAAACCAAGAACATCAATTTTCACAGGTAAATCAAGAAATGATTATTTACCACCACAAAGAAATTGTTTTTACTGCATTCACAAAATTGAAAGTCACAGAAGAAAGAAAAGATTGCACCAGTGATCAATAACCATTTTCATTAGTATATCAAGAAATGATTATTAACCAGAAAGCAAACAGAATTCATGGATTATATCCACTACAGACACAAAAATGAGAATCACAGAAGAGTAAAAGCAATAAAAATCAATAACAATTTTCACAAGTAAATGAAATGAATATTTACCAGAAAACAAAGAAACAAGAAAAATGAAATCAAGAATTATAATCAACAATAAATCTCCCATTCCCATATATATACAGAATCAATAACTATACTCTAGTACTCTAATACTCAGAAAATTACGAATAGCATAACAAACCAAATGGATAAAGAAGAAAAACCCTCCAAATTCAAAACAAAACAACGAAAACCTAGTTCAAAAACTAAAAAACAAATACAACCCAGTTTCAAGAAGATTGAAATGAGCATACATTGCCTTTTTCGGCGACGACAGCGATCTCAGGATCGAGATTCTCAGAAACAGGGCGAGAGGAATCGTAAGGATCAAAATCAAGGATAAAGCATTCCTCTTTGTTATCAAACTCCTTCAATTGCTCTCTCCTTTTGAGACAAAAGATTTGCCTTAAGGGAGTGCCCTGCTGCTCATCCTCCAAATCAGTCTCCGGGGAAGAAGACACATCTACCACCGCTCCAAGCTTCCTGATTTTCGCATTTCTCTTGCAACCCATTTTCGGAGACTTTCCACTTTCCACTCCCCACACTCACCGCGCAACGTTAATCTTTGCTGTTTGATTTGAATTTCGAATTAGGCTCCGAGGAGAAGATTAATAGCGCAGTTCTCTGAAATAGAAGCTTGGAATGGGCCTTACACCATCAAAGCCCACCACATATAAAATAAAATCTTTTTTTTTTTCCAATTATTTATTTATCAAATATTTTAATCACTTGTATAATAAATATCATGGTTGTAAAAATCGATCTAGGCGTCTCTAGACCATGGCGATTTCCTCCCTAGGCGCCCGCTTAGGTTACCGGCAGTCTAGGCGTCCGCCTAGCGCCTAACTCGGCCGATTTGGCCGCCTAGCGTCTAAGTTAGTCGAGTTAACTCGTCCATTTCGGTCGAGTTAACCCGATCGGCTCGACCTATTATTTTATTATTATATATGTGTGTGTGCGCGCGCGCATATCAGATATATATAATATGACATATATACACTCGTAGATTAGTTTGATACTTTGAATCTTTGGATGATTGAAGTGTTTGAGTATTTTTAAATTTTAATTTTGTTTTAATGTTTTTTTTTTGAAAATCATTGTTTTGATGTTATGACTTATGAATTATCATTAATTCATTTATTTGGATGTGTTATTTGATTAAATTAAATGTTGAAAACAACCCCATTAAAATTGTCAAACTGCAGCCCGCTTGTATTAATTTTTTTTTTAAATTCTAAATATGTAATATTACTAATATCTAAATTCTAAAAGTCTAAAAAATAAAAAAAAAAATAAAAAATAAAAAACCCTAAGTCCCTAACTCCTCAGTAAGACAATAAGACAGACAGACAGTAACTCCTTAGTCCTTAGTCTTACTCCCGTCTCCCTAAAGTAGTTATGAACTTTTGTAATTTTTAACTCTCTATTATGTTGAATTTTTATGTTTTGGACTCTATGGTATCATCGACTCATCGTTGTCATGATGAACTAATTTGTATTATTTACTTATGAATAAGTGTTTTAAGTAGATAATATTTAAGTTATTAACATAGTCATTGATACTGCTAATTCTACGTAAGCAATATAAATAACACAAGACCAAGTAAAGCAAGTAAGTCTTTATTGATCAAGGTAGAGTTCCTAAGTACAATCTACTTGGTTGCACTGAGTACCGACTGACTGCGGTCGGGAGTCTCTAGTTACAACCTATCGATTGTCCAAAAATCCTCTACACTGTAGCTACTGTGGGTACTTATAGCCGCTGTGCCGGAGACAAGATCCCAGCCGCTCGGCATGTCTTCCACGTAGCCACCACGTGCCATCCTCCTGGGTGCCCTGCCTGTCGATGTAAAGAGCCGCCACGTGCCTCTAGTCAGCTCCCTCGCCGAAGGACTACCGCTCGGGGTTGACACCATCGCTCGGGCAACTCCCGGTCGGTTCCCGACCGGATTCTTCTCGAGGAGCCCGACCTGTTACCTGCAAAGACAGAGAGAAAAGGACAAAAGGCTCCTCGGTCGTGGTGAAGCTATGTCGGTCGGGATATTCCCTACCAAGAGCCCCCCAGCCCGGGCCTTTTTGATCAGTCGGGAAAAAACGGGACGGGATGAAGAAGCCCAACCGTCAGCCACCAAGCCGACCCGCCAGCTGTCATTCCCTCCTACGCCACGTGCCAGCCTCTGCCGGCCTCGGCGATCCCATCCGTCGCCTCGGATTCAGCGCGGGTCGTGTCAGGCAAGTTGGCCCATTTCCCGCCTAAATGCCCTCCTATAAATAGGCCCTTGAGGCCCTCATTTGAACTTTCCTCACTCTTTCGCACCAGTCGGTACCCTCAGAGAGTCCCGAGCAGAGCAGCTTAGCAAGGCAGTCGAGCAAGCAAACTTCAACTTTCAAGCTTCAAACTTCAGTCTTCCTTCAATCGGTAAGCTCTCAACCCTCCTCTTTACTTTAGGCTCTCACTTATAGGTAGAACTGCTAGGTCAACTAACTGTCCCGGACGTCTCAAGTCCTTACTAACTCCGACCGACCTTTAGGTAGATCGATATGACGGACTCAGACAGTCAAAACGCCTCGATTGCTGATTACGACGAGGAGGTCGAGCACATCAGCGACGAGGAAGTGGACATTATGTCCTACACCCCAGACGCTAGTCCCCGAGCGACGTCAGCCCCCGAGCAAGCCGCCGAGCGAGACAACGCATCAAGCTCCTCTGGATCGTCAAGCTCAAGCTCGAGCGGATCGGGGAGCTCCAGCGAAGAAGAGGAAGAGAGGACCACGTCAAGCGGGCGGGGTTCTCCAACCGAGGGCGTCAGGGAAACGCCTACCCGGGTGGTTGGGGACCACCCGGAAGCTGCTCCTCGAGGGGGCGATCGAGAAAATACCCCCGAGCAGACCGAAGAAGACCCGGCCGGGCTGGCTACACCAGCCGTCGAGCTCGAATTCCTGAATAGCGAGAGTGTCGAGCAAGAGATGAGCCTGCTGACCAAAGGCGAAGCGACTCGGATTGCTGGAATACTCCGGGGTCGGGCAGAGTTCGACACGAGCCGGCAGCTGGGAAACGTGATCGACAGGCATCGGGGCAAGTGGATCGGGATGCACTACGACTCCCTGATGGCCCCGATCGCCATTCCCTTCACCCCCCTCCTGAACGCCTTCTTGGCCTATTACAGGGTCGTCCCGGCCCAGATCTGCCCGAACGCACATCGGATCCTGGCCTGCTTCCCACAGATATGCGCTCGGCACGAGGCCGAGTGCACGATGGAGTTGTTTAACTTCATCTACCAGATCAAGGTTCTCCCGGGCCGCTACGGGGGTGGGTTCCTGATGCTGCAATCCCGGGCCGACATGTGTGCAATCAAGGGGCTGCCCGGGAACAACAAGGGGTGGAAAAATAGGATTTTCTCCCTTAAGTACGAGCCCTGGATCTTCCCGGTCGATCGCGTCTGGAGCACACATTTTCGGAAACAAGTGGTGCCGGCCGCGACTCAGGCGCTCAAGGAGACGGTCACTCGGATCTCGAGTGAAGTACACGAGTACTCCATCTTCCGGACGGCCGAGAGTCTCGCAGCCGCGAAGCTCCCGCCCCCCACGTACGAGCTAAGCGAGAAGTACCTGCCCGTACCGATGGGCGTGACGGTCGCCAAGCCGTCGAAACGAAAGAAGAAAGGTTTAGCTCGAGCTGTTCTTCCCGACCTAGCTTTATTTCTTGAACGAACTAACCCTGCTCTTGTTTTGCAGCTATGGCCGAGTTCGGTGATGAAGACACCGCCCTTCCCCCGCCCACGAAGATCTCCCTCGGCGGGAAGAAGAAGGCCAAGACCAAGGCGGCCGGGGAGAAGGAGATCCCATCTGCCCGACCTCTGAGCGCCTCGACCGTGACGACGGGCGAGGGCTTCATCGTCGAGCAGCCCGACGTTCTGGTCACCCGGGTGGAGGTCGCCCGGGGCAAGGAGAAGGTCGCCGACCAGGGCGCGACCGAGGCGGGCAGCCTGAAGCGGCGCCGGGAGCAGCACAGCCCGAGCCCTTCGGCCGGGCGGGAGAGGGAGCCTACATCCGTGCTGGCACGGATCGGCAATGCCGCGCCAGCCCGAGCGGACCTGGGGAAGATGACCCCGGCCCAGGTGGCTGAACGGATCGGCCACGATCTGGCCGAGGTGAGTTTCCCAACTTGTAATCTCCTTTGCCCAAGTATCTTTGACCGGGATAACCGAACGTTCCTTGTCTTTGCAGATTTCCCGGGCGACCCAACTTCTTCAGGGTCAAGCAATGCTGGCCGAGGAGGCTGATCACCACAAGAAGACGGCCGCTCGCCGTCTGAAGGAGATCAAGGAGCTCCAGGCCGAGCTGGAGAAGACGCAGAAGGCCCTGAAGAAGGGTGACGAGGAGCGGGTCCTCGCCGAGAAGGTCGCCAGTCGGGCGATTGGAGAGGCCCAGGAGCTGAAGGCCCAGCTCGAGAATCCGAGCGACCTGGCGCGGGCGGCCTTCAAGGACAAGGACCTGGGCTCGGCCTTCCTCACTGAAGCCCGGGGAACAGCGGTCGGGGAAGAGCTGATCGTCTCGTTCGGCCGCTGGGGTTTTACGGCCGGGAAGCGGAAGATGCTCGAACGAGTCCGCACCCGGCTGGAGCAAGCTTTGGATGGGGAGGACCTTCAGCTGGTCCTCTCGGTCTTGCCCCCAGACCTAGCCGATCCCGGTCCCTCTCCTTTCGCCCCAAAAGCCAAGGCGTCTGAGGCCGGGGCATCAACAGCGGCCACCCCGAGCGGAAAGGAACCGGCTGCCGGAGCCCGGGAGATGAAGAGGTAGAATAAGCTCCTTTCTTCTTCTTCTTTTTTGTAAAGGACCATTGATCGGGAGCCCGGTCCCGAGTTGTACCGGGCAACTTTTTGTTTGTTAATGAAATTTATTTTTTGGTTCCATCTTGCGTCGCTCGTTCTTTCTTTTCGCACTTTTATCTTTAACCGCGCAAGCGTTGACCCTTAACTCTCGACCTCGCGGCCTTGCGGCCCGACTTCGCACATACTGATCTCAATCACTCGACCCCCTGGCCTTTAAACCCGGTCTCGCAATATTCGATCCGCTTAACGCCCGACCTTACGACCTTATGGCCTGGTCGTGCGTTCGATGTTTCGACTTAAAAACTGGCCAACCAATCGGGTTTACCCGATCTCCGGGCCTTTGTCGAAAAAATTTTCAAGCCTCTACGGTCGGAATGTAACCGAGCGACGGGCCGAGAACAAGCAAGCCTCTATGGTCGGAATGTAACCGAGCGACGGGCCTTGTACCGTACTTTCTTATCCCAGCCCCCACACTATTGTGCGCTCGAGGCACGAGTGGGTGCGATAGTGGACAGAAGTTGGACGGATCGGGGAATAATGCTGAGAGCTCCTGGCTTCCCCGATCGGTGGCGTGACTTGAGTGTCCGCCAATATGGAGCGCATTTTGACCGGTCGATAGATTTCGCCCGATCGATGAATGCTGAACTGAGCTGCTGATGACAAGGGTGAAAGAAAATAACCGATCGTGCCGCCGCATACAAACGGTCGAGCAATCATTGATCGTATATACATTAAACTTTCCCGCTCACAGGCGGTT